CCATATAATACATGTACATTATTACGTGCACCGCGTTATTTATAAGGTTTCCCAAAGTACCGTGTCCTCCAGCGATGAATTTCACGCAGATCCATGTCTCCAAAGGTGTTAGAGAGTGATGGTACAGGTGCAGAAACGTCACTTGGCTGTCTTTCTTTCGCAGAATGAAGAATATCTGAAATATTGCGATGACATGAGTTCAACAAAAGACGACATTAAGATTATTGGGGAATAATTAATAATAAATGTTTCTTATAATCAGATAAACAAATATTTGGTTATTATTTATTCGCTGCTACAGGCAGACGTTCTTTTTACTTTCATTTGGATTCAATTTATTGTAATTTTTTGATAGAGAGATTCATCAAAACCGATACTATTACGTTCATTCTCTGGATCGTTATTCATAAACTGTTATCCATAATTAGAGCGAAGATTTTTATGCATTTATGGAAAATTGAACGACGCTAAAATACATAAAATGCAAAATGTCTAAAAGAGAATGGATGAAACAAATATCTATTCATCTAAGAAATTATATAAAAACTCAAAAATTCATAAAAATTCGCAAAATCTATTTACAAGACTCAGTCGTTCATTACTCTTTCCTCTTCACGTTTCTTTTTTATAATTCAAACGTGAGTCAAATATTTCTCGCCCGTGTATCAATTGTGTTTCGTAGTATCTTTTAGAGTATAGTTTCTTGAGAACTAAAAACACAAGAAATCTAACTGTTCGTCACACTTGACGATTCCACGTTTTTAGATGGTTTTTAGATCGTCAGAAATCTACAATTTTTCGTGATGTAATAAACGTACGATTCAGCAACAAACACGAGACGTGAATTACTTTGCCGAAATTACTTGATATGGTTGATTCGGCCGGATTTTATCTATTTGCGTAATTCGTATTCTCACGTGCAGCGCAGCTTACTTTTGCCCGAGGACTTTATTCCGCAAGGAAAGGCATAACGCAAAGAGACTTTAGACGTGATGATGTTATCGCAAACAAAGATTTCTCCCGCGACGCGAGAATTCGTTCTTTTCTACGACGATCGTCGGTCGCCGAACGGTCGTTGATCACGCTAATCAGTAAACTAAACGTCACCGTTGCATGTTGCGGTAACTTGTGCTTTCATCTCATTGATCGATTATCTAATACTAATTCGAAAAATTGTATCGATTTAATTCTTATTGATCGGTTTGATCGAAATTTATCTTAATCTTTTATATAATATACGTTTGCAGTATTAATATATTGTAACTTTTGCGCGCATTTCCAGATTAATTTCTCCTAGTGTATAATTATGACAATTATGTCTCAACACACAGTGGCTTTGAAGATAATTTGCATGACACTCACAACACGGGGAAATTGAAATGAATCTTAATGGAAGAAGAAAAATTGCACGATTCTTCTCTACACGTATCTAAAGCTTTTCTACAGTCAGTGTAGATTTTTTTTTTTTGTACGTAAAAATGCGAAAGTTTATTATTGGGTATTATTACTTGTTACTAAATTATTACTAAATTTCTAGCAATGTGTGTATTATTACTAAAAAAAATTTTTTGAGAAAAAAAAAAGAAAAATTTGCTTTTGAAAAAAGGGGGCTGTTTTCTTACTTTTAATTTCAGCCCTTTTAATTTCACGAGGTTTCGTACGTACCGTGTCAGCGAATTCTGTGAATTTGCTGATGAAATACCACCAACATAGATTCGCCATCCGCAGCGCAGACGGGTTGTGGGAGTAGTCTACAGGTTGACATTTGTAACTGTAGTCTAACAACCAGCCGGACATCAGGTGCTGCGAACCACAAGTTCACGATCAAGGGACATTCTCGATTGTCTTCTACAAGCTAATTACGTGGTTGACATGAACACGTTAACAGGCTTATTAATATTTATGTTACATAAGATTTAAAATACGTCTAACAGCTTAGCAGATATTTCTTGTTTCTTCTTTCACTCTCAACTCGGAAGTCGCGTAATGTTCGAGATTTTCTACTACGATCTGCTTTGGTTTTTTTATTCGTCGTACGATTTTCGAATTTCAGCGAAAGACTCGCTTGTCTTTAATAATGAATTTGACAATATAATATGACGTAGGACGTTTCAAATTTGGCAGACTAGTGACTAGTGAAGGAAATTTACAGATACGGTATTCAAAATCATGTAAACTATCCAAAGAAACAAATGTGACACAGATCCATGAAACATATTCCTATTTAGTTTGTATTTTTTCAATTAATAATCAATTCCCGGATTTGTGTCTAAATTTGTGAGAATGCAATTTAAAATTAACAAATATTGCCATTACTTTCGGAAAGATTAATTGGTGACAATTAAAAACGAAAAAAGAATGGGACGGAGAAAAAAAAACAAAAAAAAAATGAAACGTAGAAGTTACATCATCGTTTACACATTAGTGGATTTTTGCGCATGGCAAAAATGGTAATTGGACGTCGATTATTTCGTACGCTCGTACTTCGGCACAAGCCGGCTAAAATGCTAGTCTTTCCACCAAGGACGCGTTGATTTCCTAATTATGATTCAGCTATTTAAGAAATGACTGCTTAGGAGCGCGCGGTAATTTACAGCTCTCCCCCTGGCTGTAACATGATTGCAACTGGAATTGAGAACGCGATTTTTTGCGTTCCGAATATTTCGAAATCTTCGGCCGTGGATTATTCAGTGAGGAACCTTCACCGTCTCGACAAACAAACCCGCGAGCTTCTTACTTCCTTTCGAAATTTCTTTTTTTGTGTTTCTCCCTGTCCGCGATGCGTAGTTTCTAGTTCAAAGCGGAAACAACCAATTCAAATGAAATTCAGCCAGTTCTTGCACGCTGCTCGAGCCGAATCGAACGCAATCCCGCAGCGAAAAAAAAAAAAAGAAAAGAAAAAAAAGAGGATGTTGTTTCATCGCGGATTTAGAGGATTGCGATCGACTTTCTTGATACTCGACAATTCCTCGTTTTTCTATATCACGCCGGCGGAAATAACCTGTCGTGTAGGTAACTTTCTAAGCAGATACTCGACTGCTTTTACAATGTTGTTCTTATTTTTAAAACCTTCCAGTTTCTTAATTAATAATTAGTTCGTACGGTTTTAGGCACGGCGAGTTAGGAAACCGATGTGCGATTTCTCACTTGTACGATCGTAGCCTAAGGTTCGCGCGGATGAAGCTAGTTTCGTTTCGACAGTTAGAATCTGTTACGCAGATGACGGTGAAAATCTTGGCGCACGAGTCATCGGCAAGTACACGTTGATGATTCGAAAGAGTGCAAGTTCAATTTTTAAATTATCATCTTCAAGTGATGGATATTTTGTGAGATCAGGCATATATCAGACAAAGTTTGACACCTGATGTTACGTTGCACTTCAAATTTAGATATTTCAAGTACTTCTCTATGTTACAGATATGACAAGTGTTATTCTGATTTATGTTCTTTTGTCTACCCAGTATAGATTTCGTTAATTATAAAAGCTATAAAAAAATGTGAAACGAGTTTCTCTATATTTTTGAAAGGTTATAAATAGTTGTTACGCCTTGATTGACCTTTTATATCCGCAATTATGACATTCAATGTCGAAACGATACGCCATCTTGTTAAAGAAATATATAATAAAATGAACATCTGTGAGATGCTGGAATGTGACAAATGTACGTCTTTCTTTTTCGATTGTAATTACTAATTTAAATTTATTCTTCTTTTCACTATTGCAAAGGTTATCTTAAATGGCATAAAAATTTACTTATAAGCAACTTAATTCTGAATATACAGAGCAAGGAAATCATCGTCTGTTTTATAAAATTTCAAAATATACTTTTGCCCCAATAAACAGAAAAGGTACGCAACGTTTCGAGGAAATATTTAACTGAAAATCATTATGATCAAACTTGAGAAATTCTACATTCTTAGAAGCTATAAATGGTTATGCCTATTTGCCATAAATTGGTTCTTGAGCGCATATTGCCATCTTCTGTAGTTGGTCAGATTTTACTTGGTTGTGTGCTCTTTCGAATTCTCACGAGACGTCTTCTCGAGGATCTATTGATTACTGAAACAACGCGAAATCATCCTGCAAATGAGCACGGACTATAGCAGCTGTTTAGGCGCGCGAATTGCGAACGCGCGTCATTCGTGGAAAGTCGAAAACAGGATGCTTCGCCTTTAACGAACCGCGAGCTCGTGTGTACAAATCGATTGAGCAACCGGCTGGAAGGTTCGCGAATCGAATCTTCCTGCACATAGTTTCTTTTTTCATTGTTTTCTTACTTTCTTCTTTTCTGTTTTCGAATGCTGTTTTATCGTGCTGCGTTCGTTATTGGCGTTCGCGACTCGCGCGGTGGCAAAGATCGGCCGTCGCGGTGAACGATCGCTGTGCCGATCTTTCAAAATCGCGCAGAATTTCGTTCCGTTCGAGCAACTGAAATAGAAACTCTATTAGTTTTTTTAACTAGAGAATTCGGTGTCGCAAGCCGACTTCTTCTTTCCCGAGGCCTTTCGAGAAGCCACTGCGGATCGTTGCCGGCTTCGTTTTCTTCTTGCAACAGACATTTTCCATTACTTATAGCTGCTCGTTCCACAAGTGAACGTTGCTGTGCTTATTCGCTCGATCGGGGTGAAGATCTGCTTTTCTACGCAAAGTTCGTTTTTTTAGTTGGGAACATACGTTTTCTCACCTCGTTCAAAAGTTTGGAGCATGATGTTTCGATTTTGATGAAGTAAATCTTTTTGGTATTATCTCCTGAGAATTACAAATTTTACTTTTATACATTATAATTGATCAAAGTTTCGATGTTTAACGTCGTAAATAAAATATTTATACTCTTCAGTTTATTTCTTTACTACTTTATTTCGTTTTGAAGCCCAACGTGCTCCAAACTTTTGAGTGGGTTATCACGCACTGATGCACTGTTCGAAATAATCGCAGCATCATTGTCTCTTGAAACATAATCGATAATCTTATTATTTTCAAGCTGTTGTGTATTGTATTATAACGATGTTATTTTTGTTTGCTTAGCCTTCTTTTGGTCCTCATTTGATCCTTTATGAGAAAATTCCGTTGAGTCAATCAAGAAGACGAGAAAAAGAAAAAGAATTATTCTTTCGACGTAACAAATTAATTTTTATACGTTCAAAGGTGCAAAGATACGCGTCACGCGCGTGACATGCACAAACACACAAATATAAAATATTTTTGAAAGCCAGTTTGATCGACTCGCCAAGTCGAAGGGAAAGGAATCGTGAAAGAAATGATCCACGACTGTTCCCGTGCGCTTAGTCATGCCTGTATCCAGATGATCCGATCAACAACGAGCGTCGCGAGGCGAGGAACTCTGTGTTTTAAACGTTGCGTGCAATTGCGTTAGAGGAGAAAGCGTTTCGGGACGGTCGATTAACTGCTTGTTAGCAAGCTGTTTTAGCACGAAGCCTGAGAGAACGCCTCGCGTTGACGAATCTTATTGTTAGAACGTTCGAATGGTCAACTGTTTCTTGTTATTACTCGGAGAATGGCCGAGTCGCGTTGGTCGCGAATCGAGACAGGTGCCGGCACAAAGCGGTTACATAAATCGGAATGTCGCGTTTCGCAAGCGTCTCCGGTCGAATCTCACCTGGAGGAGGCAAGGGGGAGGGGGAGGGGAGGAGCCTGGGGAGGCAAAGTCCGCGGGAGTACAGGAATTAATGGTTCAAGGTGATCGAATCGGTTGACGAACCGATGTTGAAAGAAAAAAAAAAAAAAAAAAGAAAAAAAAATACAGTCAGATTGATCGATTTTTTTACGCCGTTGCTTGAAAGTTAGATCGTGAAAACGTGATCGTCTTTGGTCAGAGAAAACGTCTTTTGGCTGGTCGTCGACTCTGGTTCATCGGACGTGTCTTTGGACGGTTATCCTTGGCGAGACGGGTTTGTTACACCGATTAAACCAGAATCCCGAAGGACACGCTCGAAAAATTATTATTATCATGAACTCTCGCGGTTCTCTCTTTTTTTTTTTTTCTTTTTTATTGCGAGAGGGCAACGTTATTTTCATCACCACGCTCGCGACCTCGATAAGCTCGCAAGATTTCCAGCACATCCGAATCGATCCGAAAGACGAATTCTACTGGTAAAAACGGCTGACGTCAAACGCCCACCGGATCCACTACGGTTCAGTGAACACGGTTATGGTTCGGCTCGATAGACACTCGGCCAGAGACTGTTCGATGAAAATAAATACTTCAACCGGTGCTACTGGTAATCTGCGTTAGTATCACGTATATTGCCTGTTCAGTGGAAATAAATACACATCGTTGATGATTTACATCGAGGTAGCAGTTGAAGTTGATAGCACTTGTTTCGGTAGAAATCGTTTGGATCGCAGAAATATACTCGTGTTGCACATTGCACTGCATACTAACGCGAGATCTAATGAAATCCTTGGAATAGCTGACATTTTCGTCCAGCGACCTACTTGCGCGTGCGCGCGATACTCCTCGGAGAGAGGCGGTTCGAGGTCTGACAGCCGTGAACTTTGGATCTCGGAGCATCAATCTCTCTCCGAGATCCAAAGACCTTTGGGCCGGTGCATCCTTATCAACCGTTTAATTATCGCGTGATTTTTAGAGAAAGCTCGCGTTTCGTTTCTCGGCGTTCTTGAAATCTTGCGTTTCATCTTGTCACGTTGAGATTTCCCTACGATCGTCAGACATATTTGTACAGCACTCAGCTCAGTTACATTTGAAACCGGATACGAACGAGATCGAGCTTACCGGAGCTTATCCAAATTCGACATTATTCCATGCTTCTTACTCAACTGCATTCAAATCAAGGAGACCAATCTCCGGTATATTTATTAATAGGAGAAACATGACACAGAAATTAAAATGTAAGTTCCCAGATATGGCGATGATCAATTAACGATCTTTCTCTTTGTCGTGAATTACAAAAATTCTGGTCGCATTAATTGCGCGCGCGGTTTCCTTTTCCCTGTTAGAGATGCTCGTAATTGCTCTAAATTCCGATTAGTTCATACGAGATGCATGCGTGTACGCGAACATCGCATGCCTTAACAGAAAGGAGATTCCGTTGAATCTCTTGATTCGATTCTCGAGAGAGGATCAGTGAGCTACTTTCGACGATTTGTTTCGCCGGTCCGTTAACCACCACAAGATCGAGTTTTTTTTTCTTTTTTAACGATCGAGTCCCTTACCTCGTACAGCATCCCTAACGAGAAGACTACTTGAAACGCGTTGTACGCTACCAAAGTTCCCCTGAGTTTGAACGGTTTCCTGTTGGCCATCACACGCGGCCCGAGTATCGTCACTCCGTACAGGTAGAGAAGGACGATTAAAAACGTTGGTATCGGCGAGTCCATCAGAGGCCAGTCGCTGACTCGAGGATCCGAGACCGTGGTGAGGATTTCCGTGTACTGGTCCAAGGCCATTTTCACCAGCCCTTGAGCGCCCACGAATGTTCGATTCGTGTCCGTCATCTCGATTATCGGTTCCGGCTCTCTCTCGACAACCAGTTCTGCCGCCGCTGACGCCATTTCTGTA